ATCTACTATAATAACTCAGATATGTGTTCTGTATTCTGCTAATTGAAAATCAGGTCATCTGATGATGTTGCGTTTAGGATTTTCAAAATCAATCACCTCTTAAATGATGCCTTAAAAACATTTCTCCCTCTCCTCTTTTTTCACCCTCTTTAAGTGTGACGCATTGTTGTAATTTTCATTAATTAGCATCCTCCAATGATGTGACATGAGCGTTTACGTGCAGAATGGCAATCGGTGAATGGATAATAAAGAATAGGTGCATTTTTTGCTTGTGAAATGAAGGATAATTAACAGTAGTGGGAAAACATGCATGGAGAAAAGAGACATTGTACTCCTTTTATTTTTATTTATTTTTTATTCATATTAGTGAAAATTATTAATATTTGTAGCGACTATATTTACCGTCATTGAATATACAAAATCTCACAAATGTTCTTGGAATATATTTGAATTATATTTCCCAATGCGACTTTACCAACGTAAGAGTTATTTCCCTTACACCCAATTGGATACTATTTTGACACGGCGCGAATTCTTGTCAAACAGCAGCGGCAGTTGTGTCATGTTCTTAAATTGTTACACTTTCATAAATAAATACACAAGAAATAGCATGCTGTGTTACAAAAATGTTTGATAAGCATACACAGTTCACATATCGTCTTGTCTCGGAGCCATTAGTCTACCGTTATCAATCCGAAGCACGATATGGCATATATACGTTACCGTTACAAACATCAAAATAGAGTTTATACTTCATCACTCATACGGTTTATAAGTTTATATATTTACTTCTTCCTTCTACAGACAGCGTCAATGCTTGACAGTCTTCACATGTGCTTTCTCGAATCATATGTGTTTCACACGCGTAACACTCCCCAGACCGCAATCCGAGTTGCTAAAACGCTCAAACCTAGTGCACGAATTTCACCACCACAACACTCGTAGAATGCACCGGAGATAAACATTTTGTTTTCAGCAATTATTTTAAGCATGGATTATTATTTGGAGAAGAGTATCAGAAGACTTTATGTAACCCATAGGTGAGTGTCAGAGATTCTACTTTCTATTTACGATAACGAAACTATATAGCGGAAGCATGCAATACTGAATTATGCGCACGCGCCCCGAACTGAAGTGGGTCCGTCATTTCGTTCTCTGGACAGAATTAATAAGCCGCTCGGCTCTCGCCAAGAGCGGCTTAAAAACAGGCATGTATCACGAAACTACTGATAACAATCAGATAAAAAAAAAACTGACCTCTGAATGATTGTGTTAAAAAACTGAAAAAAAATTGACTCTTAACCTTATATTGTGTCAAGACTCATTCCTTGGATTTGGGACTTGTTTCTTTTTTTGTGATTTACTCAACAAATATCGAACAGAAGTTCACAACATATACACCACTTAACTACTCTCTGTGATTTGTTTCAGAACAGCGGCAAACAATCCAAATTAGATCACATATACATGTTTACTTTATCTACAACTTCATCATATAGGTCTTAAAGACTCATTCCTTGTACATCAACGTCTTTGTAGCTGTATGCATATCTTATTGCAGTCATAGAGGTTTTTTTTAAATGTAAATTTTAATGAATTAATTTGTGAATACACAAGGGAAAACAAAACAGCATCTAATTTGTGGGATTCTGTTGAATATTTTTTTTAATTAATGCCAAAAAGTTTGTCTACAAGTCATTTGAAACAGACAGTAGCCATTTAAATTCCCTCTTTCAAACCCCTACTCTCAGACGATATTCCCATCCTACACTACTACACCATGCCTGAACTTTTCTCATACTCTGAAAGCACCCCACCCCCACTGACAGTGTCTCTGTCCTACCCTGACTACGGCCTCTCTTCCTCTTCGCTTTCTGCTCACTCAGCCTCTGTAGAGGAAGGTCATGGAGGTCAAGGTTGTACACCTGTCGTGCCAGTACTCGCGTCAGGATCTCCATTGTTTTCTACAGGTAAAGAGACATGCACTTGATCATGACCTAATTGTGTGGGGGTATTCACCAGAAACATTCATTGTACTTTTTTCACTTTATTTCACCTGTTTCATATTAAGTGCACACTTCTTACAATGGAAGTGTTTAAAATAATAAAACTTATGGAAACACATGTCAGGCCAACTAATAATTGAATCATTGGCAAATCATAATTAGAATGCAGCCTTAAGAAATAGCACAGGATTAAAATAACAACACTAAAAAGATCTTCTTCTTTTTTTAAAGAATCTTTCCATTATTTATTTAAAGAAACATTGCACAAGATTATTTAAAAATAATTTTACCATTTCAATTCAAACATTTTGTTCCAAGCAGTTCTGGAACCAAAAATGTGTCTTGTTCATATGTACTCGTCACAAAACAATGCATTCTGATTGACTCTACCATAAATACTGGTGCTAACACTAGTAGCTGTGATGGGTCCCTTTTGATTACATATACTTGTTGTAACTCTGGGGATTGTGGCATTGGCCTTATCACCTATACTCATACAGCTAGGGATTGTGATGTACTGACCGCCCACTCCTGGATCAGTTCTGGCCAGGAGGTCAGTGAGGACAACACCTGAAGAAACTCGTCCCACAGCTCCGTTGATACAAACACATTGAGATTCGCCTTGATCCACGTCACAATCAATGTCTACAACAAAAACAGTTTCCACAGAGGGACTTATATGATAGAGCCAGAGGACATGTGGAAAGAAATTTTATTAAAAGATTCATTTTAAACTTTGGAATATAAGAGTCATCAATGTTAAAAAGTAAAACCTCAGACCTGTCATCAATAGTCATTGGTACCCTAGACCAGTTATAAATGGTTGCAGCACGTTGATGGCACCTCAGATCAGCTGTCAGAAGTTGTAATGGTCAGTGTTACCCGAGAACCCGCCCCGGGATCATGAAAGTCTAAAATCATCCAACCACAACTATCATCATTATAGGCAACGTCTAGCAACAACTTATGTCTAGGATTGTTTCATGATCCCAGGGAACCTATGACAGCCCTTGTGATTGGTCAGTGGTACTCCAATCTAATCATCAGTAGTTATAACTTGACAGCGTAACATAACACAGCCCTTGTGATTGGTCAGTGGTACTCAAATCTAATCATCAGTAGTTATAGCTGGACAGCGTAACATAACACAGCCCTTGTGATTGGTCAGTGGTACTCCAATCTAATCATCAGTAGTTATAACTGGACAGCGTAACATAACAAAGCCCTTGTGATTGGTCAGAGTTACTTCAGACCAGTCATCAGTATGTATGAAAAGTCAGTGGTATCTACAGCAATCATCAATGGTTCTGAATAGTAAGCTGTATCTTTGTATGGTCCCTCGGCCATCACCTGCTTACCTTGAGCAAGTGATGAGGCAAAACCAACGTTTATCTAGGTGAGGTAGACACTAGCAAAGGTCACACTTGATACCTGTACTGAGGTGCCCTCACCATACAGGTGCAACACTGTTTAACCATGCTATTCAGCACACATTGGTTTGTAACAATAGTCTAGAAAAACACAATTTTTTGTTGTATAAATGAAGCAAAAAATAAATATATTCATTCAGTTCAAAAATTGACCTTGTCCAGAAAGAAACAATTCTAGACTGCCAAGTTAATTTGTACATTGTCAAGAGGCTGACAAATATACCTACATACCAGTACAAAAGTCTCTATTAGTACCGTATGCATTGACCTCATAAAATCAATTTTCTTCGTGGAATCCTACCAAACAACCTACTCCAAAGAACATTTTACCTGAAATACTGTCTGTGCCAATCGGCCACCAAGGAATTTCCATTTCTGGTCACTAGGTATTTGATGTAGCACACCAGATGTGACACACAACAACACCTGTAGCATCTTCTCCCTGTAACGAAAACAATTCATGTCAATGTTATTTCAATTTGTGTCTCAAGCAAACAATAATATCACTATACTGTATGATACGAAATGTTCATGGGCATCTTCTCTCGTGGTTTGAAGCCATTTAGATCATTTTGTGGCAAACATTTCATGTTTTACAGTACATGTATGCCTGATACCAAATCACATGGTTTTTTAATCATGACATAAGATCTATAAATGCTTTATCTGTATAAAATCATGATGTATGAATTAATGCTCTTTCGGCAAATAATCTGTTGAGATATTGAGACAAGCTTAAACTTTACAGAAATAAATATTCATAATATACAAGAACATTTTGCTCTTCATCATTACATGTACTTTGCATGGTGGATATACATAAAAGTTCAATCTTTTCTGAATTCATTTTATTTTGGCACTTTTTTTTCTATTCTCGTCATTTTGAAAATAAGAGGTAACGTTTCAAAAAAAAACATACCCACATCACTGAAACCCTTTGAAACAGTGAACTTACCAAGTCTTTTGTTCCATCTTGATATTCATAACCAAAAATCTGTAGATGTTTAAAACCCTCTTACAGAGATCAACCTGAAACAGCACATACAACAACTTACACTGATTTCATGACTTCTCCTTGTATACTTATCTCTTTGATCTATTCTAGACATGTGACACAGCTAAATTGTGATACATCCATCTACGAAATGTCAGTAAAAATCAACTGTCAAGATGTTTTTTCCCATTTAGTAAGACGACACACAATGACAGACCCCATGCAATGGTCTAGTATAACACACCACAGATTCGGGTTTTACTTAAAAGAAAATTCTTAAATGAAAGAGGACAAATCAGTAGCTTCTAGTTGAAAAGGTGATTTAAAGGAACATTGTGAATAGTTTGAAATATGATATCTTACCTGTTCTGTGAGCATGTTTTCCTCGTCAGTCTGTAACAGGAAGATGTTTGCGGCATTGGTAATGAACACCTGTAGCACCTTCTGAATACCAGCGCGGATGTCATATTGACTGTGGTCGCCGCCGTCTGCCAACTCCTGGATAGCTCCTAGGTAGGACGCATTACGGATCTTCGACTTGTCGGTGGTGGGATCTAGGCTGATGAGTTGACGGATCCCTGTATACGGAACAGACTCCTACAAATGTAAAAGTAACGTTATCAATAAATCACGGTTACAGTGAGATTTATCGGATTGAACAGTTCGACATATAGCAGAAAATTCTGTGTGGCTGTCCTCCATCAAATCTTCAAGAATTGAAAATTGCATCAAAGGATTTAATTCACTTAAAATACTGTACATGCATATTGCAATAACAAGTGTTCTGTGAAGGTATTAACAAACTAAATTCCTCTATGAAAACTCTATAGTTTCAATAATCTGAAATAAAATGAGCCTGAACATAATCTGACCCTCATGCAGTGACCAAAGTGTAGTACATCAGTGATATAATAGAATATAGCATAGCATCCCACAAACCCCTTGATCATGTTCACAAACACTTGATTCCAAATTCAAAATAAGTTCATCGACATCCGAACCTATACAGAAGAATGCATACATGTAGAGTACATCTGAGCTATGCTGCATACAGTTATCACAGAATAAGTACATGCTTTTAGGTACACTTTGTAACTCAATCCAGGTGTTATATTAACTCACATAGTAATACAGTGCATACATACAGTTTTCATGGTAAATACACACGTTAAATATACACGTTAACATATACCAGGCATTTTAAGCCCCCATCCCCTCTTTTTTGGGCTAAAAAACAAAACAATTGCATACACTAGAGAGCCTGTTGTTGATAGATTATATATTACAAGATTTGCCCAATTTCTCCCATTTATAGCACAAAATTTCCTCATTTTAATTACCATTAAACCAGTTGTGGGAATCTGCAATCCGGTAAAGTTGTATACATATGGATGTGCAAAACTTCAGATACTTTACTTCACCTGCAGCTAATCAGGGTGTAAGTAACAAAATATTGAACTAACCATATTTTGACTGCACATGTTAACTTTCACTTGTGCCTGCTCATGGTGTCTATGCAGGACATGTGTTTATTAACTTAAATACCTGTTACTAGATCACACATGCCAGATTTCCTGGTGACCAATCTGTGAGTTTTACATTGTTTTAAGAGATTTTAGGTCAAAACATTCAGTTTTTGTCGCTAATCAAACCAGGGGCATTATATCTAACTTTTACTGTACAATACTGTGTAATCACTATTTTTCGTGGCGTTTTTAATTTCGTGGATTTTACAGGTAATTTTCATCGAAGAATTCATAGGTCAACAAAGTAATTACAAGTTTGATAAAGAGCAATTTTTCATTTGAGTGGGAACTCGTAATTAACAAATTAAAGTACCCACGAAATGGTGATTTGTCCAGAAACCATAAATTTGGTCCCCATGAATATATCTGTTTTCACAGTAACATGCCTAAATCTTTTTATTGTTAACTCTGCTCACCATGGCAACATCAAACAGGGATTAATCCATCTAAACCATGTGACCTATAATAATAAATGACAAAGTCCAACTCCTTCATGTTGCTGAGTTATTGATAACTAGTTCTACCATTTGAACCCTAGCCTGTTGCTAGGTGAATCAACCAACTCCAAGCATGTAAGGTCAAGACAGCCATTTCACAGCCATCTATAACCCTAGTTCCTACTTCAAACAGAAACACTAGTTGATGACTTAGCCAGCTTGTATGTGTCCGGCCATGTGTAGCCGTCAATACCTACATCAGATGAACCCTCCTCCTCCATGATGTCAGAGAGACTGTGATGGAATTCGGGCGTGTCTCGCTGACTCGTCACCGTCCCATTCTCACATGGTTCCTGCATGAAGATAGGCTTTTGATCTGCATGCTGTCATAAATATAAAGAGCAAGACAAGTCAGCCTCATGCACTAAGGGGAAGCTACGCCCAAGCTTGTGACTGCCTTCACAAAGTCAAGTTCTGTAACGGTACATGTACTTTCATTTTGGACTGCCTAAACTTTCAGAGAGTATATAACAAACACCAAAGTTTTCAGATTTCTATTTTGATTTAGTTAAAACTGTCAAAAAGGTTGAGACTTCAGATGTTAATCATAAATTGACATTTTTCAAATCTCAAGGAAACTTAACAAAGACCTGTCGCTCAATATTCATCCAAAATAAATGCAGGTACATGTATCATGACAAAAATGTCCTTTGTAGGAGAAGATGAGATCTATAGAGTTCTTAGTCATGCCTGTGATGCTTGAGGTTAAGACCACTGACCAATGGTCAGCATTATATGGGGTTCTGTACAGAGTGACGTCCAGTTGCCCTAGCATGCTACTTTGTGTTAGTTACTATATATATATACAGGACATATGTTATCACTTTAATACATAGCTCATGCCAGATTACCATAAAATTCATTATTTGTATATGTAAAGTGAATTTCATATCATATTATATTCAACACAGAATATGCATGAGAGTCAAACATTGTATAATTTGTATTAGAAGGCACCAAACAATATGACATTACTAGTAAAGTGTGTAAATGTAATTCATCTTCCATACAAATTTACAGCTGTATATATACAACCACATAGTGTGCAGTTACTGTTGAATGTAGAGTACTCCACAAAGCATACCGAGGTTATAATGATGGATTTTGTACTAATTTCCTGTCCACATTTAATGACTTTAGCTAACATTATGGCTCCTCTGCTTTAATACCCCCTTACCATGTCATCTTACTCAAATTCAAGCTTTTCCTCACCAACATCAGGGAGTGTTTGTATAGAAATGTGTAGTACAACAATAGCATTATCTTACTGATTCCAATTTTTTTTAACAAAATGGGGTAAGTTTACTGTCAAAAAAAAGAAGTTTTTTTTACTTTTTTATAATGGCGTAAACTGTGGTATTTCTATTGTGACAGGATTGACTGCAGGATGAATTTTTTATCATGCATAATTGAAGAAATTCGTTTTTATATTAGGATGACCAAAACAATGCTTTCGTTCCATCAAAAAGTTGCTTTTGAAAGTAAAGCATGTTCCTTCTCTCGAATTGTCAATTCTGCATAAATAATTTCATTGAATAAAGTTAGTCAGAAACATTTCATTCACTCATTCCATCCACTAACTACTTAAATATTTCGTACTGCAAGATTCACAGGCTTTTTTCCCAGTGATGGCTGGAAAGACTACAGGACTAAATTGTGTATGAAGTCTGGTTCACAAAAAACAACTGTTATCTCTTTAGAAAAAACCTTGGAATTTGATTTGTTTCTGCGATTGATGAGGTGGCAGATTCAAAAATCATCCAGCAGTAAGCACTTTTTGCAAATTTTGGCAATTTTTTATAAACTTTTGCCTTTTTTCAACACTGAAGGCACTCATGATCAAGGCTCATATACTTTTAAGTTCCAGTCAAATAATGATCTGATTGTGGATTTTCAATTTCAATGGATACATATTTAGGTGAAATAAAAAACATGCTATCATTAGCATTCTTTTAATTCATTTCAAAAATTTAAAAGTACAAATTACACAATTCGATAACCCATTGAAATCTTATCTACTGTGATTTTGAATTCTGCAGATTTCATGTGATGAATATGAAAACATTTTATACATAACATGTAGATTATATTATGAACCAATTTGCAAAGGTAACCAGACTTTATACAGGCCGAGACCTTCGTCGGTGTTTGAATGCATTCCTATACACAGCATGACCACAGCACTCACCTGAAACCAGTCCTTGTAAACTCCTATCACAGTTTTGATTGCTTTCGCATGTTGAAAAGAAAAGAGCAAGGCCTAAAAACAAATTAAAAAAAAAAAGATAATTATAGTTAGAATTGGTGTAGTTTATGCACATATTTAAATTGTGGAAGGAAAAGTTGACCTGGTAATGCTGAAGAAAACATATTTTTGTATAATGCATTCCTCCTTGTTGAGTTCTCTTGCTGATTACAAGTTAAGGTCTATTTTTATTTGACACTGTGTGCTTATCTAGTTGTGTAAAATGTAAAATAAGATACTCGCCTGCCTGAAGGACTCGTGGACAATGTTGACGTTCTCCCGTGTTGAGAAGAGAACAGATCTTACTATACTGTTGTCATTGTCAACATCCTCGTAACAGAGGCTGGAGTTTGCCGAGTCCTGTTCGGAACTGTGAGACACAGTTGACAGAGTGCTGGCATTACTGCCCGGCATGTGTTCACCAGCGGTCACTTTGTGATCAGCTACGTCCTTCTGGTCATCTTCTGCCCCCCCCGTCTCCCCGACAGTACAGCCAACCTCACTGTGTAAGAACAAAACAATACACAATGCAAATCAACATTCTATTGACCCAACCCAACACGTGTTGTTCAATACAGAACACTTGTTTGAGATGCATGTATCCTACATAGGTGCACTCAGTGGCCATTTAGTATATGGTGATAGATTGAAAACCTGTTGAAAGGTCCTTTGACTGACTATGGCAATCTTACCATCTGCAACTGATACCAAATCATGAATATAAATATTGCACAAGAATGCAATGAAGGCGTTTCTTCAAATTTGAGGTATACCTCTACCTCTCTCAATACATGACATTAGTTTATGCGTATGTTATCTACAATTTTTGCTGAAATCTGTGTTGCATTGTTATTGTTGATATCATGTTTTACAAAACTTTCAGGAAGATATGAAAGAAAGGCATCAATCTTGGACATAGAAATTCCTCACCCTCAGGTAGAATATCTACATCTCACATACAATCTTGGACATAGAAATTCCTCACTCTCAGGTAGAATATCCACATCTCACATACCTGCATATGATAGGCTCTATAGTATTACTGTAGTGAAATAAAATTGCCCTTCTCTCTCCCACTTTAGATTTGAACATGTCACACAAAGTAAATAACTTGGGCCTCTGGTCCGTCACGTATTTTCATCAACACTGCTCATCTTCCTGATACACACTTATAATGGCATGTGATGGCATTTACTCATTTATAAACATCAAACTCTTAAATTATGAATACACATTAAACTTGATATTTGAACTTTTTGTGTTATGTGCTTTTCACTATATTAAGTGATATAGGTTTATTTTCACATATGTTTAGTTGTGGGAGGCACGGTAGTCTAGTGGTAGGACGCCGGGCTCGTGACCGAAGGGTTGCAGGTTTGAGTCAAGGTACGGCACTGTGTTGTATCTTTGAGCAAGATACTTTACTCTGCTTGTTCCAGTCTACTCAGCTGTGAATGAGTACGTGGTTGGGCAGTGCTAAAATTGTAGAATGCTAGCTGTGAGCGCCGAAATGGCAGCACCGGCTGTATCCACCTCAGGGAGTTGAGAAAGATATTGGCTAGTTGCAAAGGCCATATACCTAGGGATAATAATTTGGGAACCGCTTTGAGACGACCTACAAACTAGGTTGTGATAAAGCAGTATATAAGAACCTCGAATTATTATTATTATGAATATATACTGTTATGTATGAAACTGGACTTACTTGTCTGTCTGCTGTTCTGGTTTATTGGAGACGACGAGAAACAGTGCCAGCCACTTGATGTAGGAGTAACGACATTCGGCCACATTGACAGGCAGGTCTTTACTTTTCATATCCTGCATCTTACGCTTTTCTGGCATTTCTGTAATAGGGTAATCGTCATAACAAATGAACTCAAATAAAATCATATGTTGAAACTCCAATGAGTAATACTTATAGGCATTCTCGTAAAATCTTCTGAACATTTTAAATATATTTCAGACATCCCGGTTAATGAAGAAAGTCTAGGAATTCATTTAGACAAACAGGTAAATAAATCAAGTGACTAGATATAAGTCGGAACATTTGTGTGTCTACCAAAACATACATGGCACACTTATAAAGTGTGTGGAGAAATTCTTAGTCACTCTTTTCACATTGAAGCAGATACATTGTTCTCTTTTGAGTATTAATCGGGTTTTTTCATCAAAGCTTTGTTCTGGGTGTCATGGTTTACAGGGGTGTGATTTATCGGTATATCAACTCCATCTTTAAGTTAGGAAGGGGAGATACGTTCTTTTATAAGATCCTCACCTAAGACAGGATCATAGATGCTGCTACTTCTGTCAAAGTCGGGGAGCAGCCATGTAAGGTATGTGGTTTTAAATTTGTTAAATAAGAATATAAAGCTAGCCTCCTGCATCTCCTTGTTCAACCATACAACTTTAGTAATCTGTAACAAATAATGGTGACAGCAATAAATTTCCTTCAAAATCAACTTTTTTCATTTTTCATTTTATATTGCCAGATGTCCAGTGTTCTCACTAAGTTTTGAAACGGGTAGTTGGCTCACATACTGTAATGTTGACCTATACATATTTTGAAAAAATAGCCGTTGATGAATAGCAGGCTAATTTTGCAAGTAACCAGCTTTAATGAGAACACGGATGTCTTGTGTACTTTCAGCAACACAAAGATATGTTTCTCAAAATATATTTTCGACTTTCCCACAGTTTTGTTTTCTGTGGTGTTATTTTAACACTCAAATGGAAAAGTACAAATCTTATTGTTGAGTTTGCCGTTTCGATGTTGCTTGGTGATTTTGCAAATTCATGTCACTAAGAAAATTCAAAAACTAACCAAACCATATGAACTAATAAATCATACACAGTATTGGGTACAGTTTATCCCCAACGAAATTCAGTATTAGGAGTTAGTAGTCTGGTTACCTCCGATACCATATCGTGAAGAAGGCAGTCAAAGAAATGCTTGGTGATGTTATCGGGCAACTTTTCCCCACTAGCCGGTAAGATTGGTGTGATTTCTCCAGCGGCTATCAACCCGCCACAGTCTAAAAAAAGCAATGTTTAGTACAATGTAATCTGCAGTGAATATTTGTCATCTTAATCTTTGTCAAATTCTTAAAGACTGTACCCTGGAAGTAACTAAACTCATTCACCCCTTAACACACATTTGAACTCTTCCAATTCAAAGATTGGAATAGTACATTATGAAATTTCAGGGGTGAGTGAGTTAAAAGATCTTTGCAAATTCACTAGTGTTTTCTAAGCTGTATCTTTTAAAGAGCGACATCCAGGGTTTAATGAGAACACCAAAATTTGTTTCATAAAACAATGGAACATTGTCAATATGTACAACTGAGAAAGATGCTATTATGTTCCAGTCATAATTACAGTTACTGTTGAATACACTGTGACATGATACCTGGCCAGTCCATGGGTTCAGAAGTGCTGTTACGACTGCTGAGCAATTCCTGCTGTACTCCGTCCCCCAAACCAGGCACAAGCTGTAGAAAAATTCTATGGCATTCCTCCGACGCATTCCCTTGTAATATCTGGTACCATATTATAAACAGACGCATACCATCTTTTCTTGTCTGGAAAACAAGAATATTAACTCATTTAAATACACTTAAGTGTCCTTTGGATCAATTACAATCAATATGATCACTAAAAAAAAAGCCTCATCTGATTAGTAGCATGGCAGCCATATTGGATTTCAAAAGTATCAACATATAGTCAGAATTTGTGAAATAAACATTTGTACTAGTTGAGGATATAGCATGCTTGATGGAATTTTGCTAAGATTGATGGACAAAGATAGCAATATCACACTTGAGTCTCTTGGTGAGTTGACAAAGTTACTAGCTATGGATGGACACTGGTTGTACATACCTTCAGACCATTGCTTGGATGAAGTAATTTTTTCATAATACGACCTGGAAAACAATTATTTTTTCAATATTAGATTGCACATACTGTTACAAGTTTGACAGAACAGCAATTTGTATATAATCATTATTGCATGTTAGTTTTAACATTTAATTGAATTGTACTGCTGATTAATGAAACTGTAATATGTATACACACAAACATACAATGTTCTATTCAAAATTCTTTGTGGTTTCATAATTTTCTGTACCTATATTTAGTCTTTTGATGTTTGTTTAAACAATAAAGACATGGCAATCAGTACAAGGGAGACTAATCTGTAATGAACAAATAATATCAATATTTAGAACAAACATAATTCCAATATTCTGATAATCTAGAAAATTCACAGCCATAATATGGCGATGATGGCATTGACCAATCCGTATTTCGGAAGTAACCCTTATGTGATTTGGGGGAAATATTAAGCAATTTACATAAGGATTTTCACCTCATAAAAAAGGAAAGTTGTTAATGCAATTCAATTAGATAGCACTGAAAAGGTTCATTTAGCAGGAATGTAAGGTATATGTGCAAGTTTCATCGAGTCAGTGCTATTTAAGTTAGGTAAGAACAATGTAGCAGCGAATCGATGAAACTTGTACATGGAATGATTCTTTTTAACTGTATATGACCACACTTTTACAATTTCAGTTATTTTGTTAATCTAGAACATCTATAGAATATAAAGATTATTGATGAAAAAATTACTAATTTTCCAGCATACATGCATTTTTTTTATTGAAAATACCCATAAACAATGAAGAATTTGACCTAGATTCTATCACACATGTGCAGATGTCTCCCATTACCTCAGAGCACCAGTATTAACCAAGACGGGAATACAATGCATTACCTATACTGTGGAACATCCATCTCTTATGTACTAACTCTGGCAACAGGAGTAAAATTTTCTGAAAGAGAAACATATGGTTTATAACTATGTATATACTTATATATATGTTATATTATTTGTGCATGAATCTTGAAAATCAGGCAGTGTATGTTGGAAAAATGGCCCCAATATTGATAATCCAATATTTTGAAAATGGGGAAATTGCTAACCTGACTAAAATTTATGTTAAATTCATACCTTGATTTCATTTTACAAAATGTCAAATGATGAAGAATCTGGAATGTATTTACTGAAATAAAACAAAACTAAATTATCCTCAAAAGATACACCATGAAACCTTTTCTTTTGGAAGTTTCAAGTTAACATCTGTACTGAAAGAAAGGAATGTATAGAAACAAACCTCAAATATTTGAAGAATGCTGTCCAATTCTTCTCTGTGTGCCTTGTTAGCTGGGGAAAAAAAGTACATTTTGATGCCTTAATAAATGGTAAGCTGTCACATATAAAAGATCTTATTTATTTATAACAATGAAAAATACTGAATTACATGAAGTACTTCAACAAGAGGCCCAGAGGGCCTGTATCGCTCACCTGGAAATGTTAGTAAAATTGAAGTTGGAATAGCTAGATGTTGCTGGCAGTGTACATGTAATACATGGTTAGTCAGGGGTTATATTTATGCAATTTGACAAAATCCTGTCATTCCTACAGGAAAAGAGGGATTTTGAAGAATTTGCTGTGTTTCTCCTGGGCCACTCCCCTCTGCCCCAAGTGGGGTCAGATCCACCTTTGATACAAAATCATGTCTCCTTTACCCAATAATGTTTTAGACCAAATATGCAAATATAATACCTCTATTGGGCCCCACCTCTCAGGCCCCAGGGGGGGTCAGACACACCATTTAAATAAAATTGATTTTCCTTCCGCATAGGATGCTACTGTTCAAATTTGGTCAAAATACCTTTATTCTAACGGGAGAAAAAAGGATATTAAAGCTATTCCTCTATATCCCTTATTTGGCCCTACCTCCCAGCCCCCAGTGGGTTCAGTCACACCGTTTATACAAAACTGGTTCACCAATCAGGATACTTCATACCAAATTTGGACAAAATCCGGTCATTCCTACAGAAGGACAAGGATTTTGAAGAATTTGCTATGTTTCCCCTATTGGGCCCCACCCCTCTGCCCCCAGGGAGGCCACACCAAGACCAAGATGCAAGGATGCTCCAGACTAATTTAGGATAAAATCCCTTAATTCCTACTGTAGAAGAAGGATTTTTCACGTTTTACCTCTATTTCCATTATTTGGCCCGCCCCTCTGCCCCTAAGGGGGTCACACCCACTGTTTATACAAAATTGAGTCCCCTTGGCCCAAGGATACTCTAGACTAAATAAGGATAAAATCCCATAATCCCTACAAAAGAAGAAGGATTTTAAAGGTTTTACTTCTATTTCCCCTATTTTTCCCCGCCCCTCAGCCCCCAGGGGGACCACACCCACCATTTATACAAAATTGAGTCGCCTTGGCCAAAAGATGCTCGAGACTAAATTAGAATGAAATCCCTTAATCCCTACGGTAGAAGAAGGATTTTAAAGGTTTTACCTCTATTTCCATTGTTTGGCACCGCCCCTCTGCCCCCCAGGGGGCCACACCCTCAGTTTATACAAAATTGAGTCTCCTTGGCCTAAGGATGCTGCAGACCAAATTTAGTCAAAATCTACCTAGCCGTTCAGGACTAGTATTATTTTAAAGGAAAAGTTGACGGACGGACGACGGGCGCTGCAGTATGGCATAAGCTCACCACGGACCTTCGGACTAGGTGAGCTAAAAATGTAAAATACTTCAAGCAATTTCTTAGATTATTGAACCACATTATTTTTTCTGAATTATTTTTTCAAAGGTTGTCTCAAAATTTTATTAACAACTGAAGTTGCGTATGGTACTGACCTCTTTGTTTTAAATCTGCTTCAACTGTAGCAAAGTTGTCATTGAAGATAAAGTAGATATGTGAATAGTTGGCTTCAAAGAAAGATTTGGCATCAGGAACTTCATAATTTTCTGTAACGAGAAAAAGAATGTGAGAAACATTTTACTAATCAGATGGTTAACATTACAAATCATATTGTGACATGGAAAGACAATGTAAAAGGTTACAAGGTTTTACTGTAATACAGGACCCCTACCTCATCACAACGAACTTTACACTGTATGATAATTATGCAATAGGTAAAAGAGAAATCCAACAGCCAGACCAGGATTTGAACCCAGGACTCTCTGCACTCTATAGACAAGACACTCTACCAATTGAGCGACCCAATACTCAACGATTGACCCAGTCAAGTTTCGCGGCTTCATTTACAAGCTACCTAGATGTCATTTATCTGCTGGGTTAAGCCAGTTGATTTTGCTTGGAGAAAATCCTTTAGTAAAGCTGTTTTTGTCTTTTCACTCCAAAGGTCAGGACATCACATCAAAATTACGATAGGCCTAAATGACACATCATTCCTTGTCTACAAGAAAGAAAATCTTACAGCATGAATTCAAACTGTTTTACAAATGGAGCAAATAGATTGCTTTAAACACCACAAAAAGTACTAAATATTAGTGTGTAGGCTAGCACTGATATTCTGGCTACCATGCCTCTCTTCGTCTGACATGTTATATGGAGCAAGTGATTATACTCAGCAACTTGATCAATGTTATTTCGTATTGTTTAACTTTAATCATATATCTGCTCTTTGTCGACTATATTCAAGCAATTCAATGATACTAAGCTAGTTCTTATAGCCCATCTTGGTAGCTTGAATGTTGAGCGTTTGCCCAGGTGAGGAAGGCAATGGGTTCGGTCTCCAGGCCAGGACATACCAAAGTCCTTAAAAATGGTAGTTGTTATTCCCTGCTCAACGTTCAGCATTTAGGGGAATCGCAACAACTGGTTCACCCGCTGTCAGTATAATGTGACTGGGCGGAATGCAGTCAGTGCTGGGTGCCTCGGCATGGTATTTCAGTGAGATCGCACTATAAAGTCGGCATCAGATCCGCGCTAACACAAGAAGCCAAGCACATCAACATACCCTGTCTCCTGCATACACTACACACATGGAATGACCTTAGCTGTTAATAGGACATTAAACAAAATTCAACCAAACCAAACCAACCTTGGTAAGAAAGGCCTATGAAGGCTGTACAGGGTCAAAGTTTGGTAGCAAAGCCTTAGGATTGCCAGTGTTTGAGAGATCAAAATGAGTCTATTAGATTTACGGAAGGCATAACTTGCCAACTCTCCTTACTTTGAACAAAGACTCCTAATTTTGGACCCTAAAATTTAGCATTTCCAACAAGTGAATTTGCTAAACTATTCCTATTTTTTCTAAGATCTGATGATTTCATCTGAAAGAACTCAAACAATGCCATTCAGTTCAGTTCAGTCTTCAGATTCCTTCAATTATTTGGTGGAGCACCCAAGTAGGTCCTTGGTGAGTTAATTGGATTGGCGAGGTCCTTAAGAATATAAAACACACACAGGGAATTCACACTGGCCATGGGGCTATATACAAATGGACGTATTTACATGTGTCCCTATAATCAGCCCATCATGAAACTCAGTCCATTCATGAGTGGTAGCTATATAGTAATCTGGATATACTAATGTCAATGGGAAAGGAGGAACATCATTGATTGCTCAGAGATTGAGTGCAGATAGGTAACGGATTCTCTTCAGATGTATGTTGGTAAGGAACTCCCTGGAGCAGAGTTCGATCCTGCGGACTAATTCTTCTCTGCGTTTATGATGCATCTGTTGATCAGTGAGATGGCGAGAACAGTCGAGGATAAGTTGAGTGAAGCTCTCAGGGTCTTCCAGTAGATGCTGTTTTGTCAATCCAGGGATCTCGACGAGTTTTCTTTTGCATCTGAGTCTAATATCCTCCAGTCTGCAGCATTCAGCTATGAAGTGGCATCTTGATTCAGGTTGGGAGTCGCAGAGTTTACAGGTGGGGTCGATCTCAAATTGGTTGAATCTGGCCCGGTTTGACTGCAGAATGTACGTTCCAGCTAGAATCCTGGCTTTTAATTCTGCTCTTTGTACGTCCCTTTGTATTGGATTTGTCATTGAGTATAGATGGTGGGGTACTCCAACTTTCAGCGCATCCAGGTTTAGATATTTCAGAGAGGGTTTCTCTTTTACCTCGTCTCTCCAGTCAGCTTCCACTTTCCCGTTTATGGCCGCATTGAGGATGCGTCTCCATTCATATTTATTCGGGGTGTTAAGGAACAGATGGTATGCTGTTGGCAAGTTGTAGAGTCGCAGTAGTCGCCGGATCTCTGAGAAGATGCTGGGTTCTTCAGCTGACTTTACAGCAAGTTGCCACACAGCAATCCTGTATTCTATGGAGTTTGGGTTAGACAGGACACAGTGGAAAAGGTTGAGCAGGTTTTTATGGATGACAGTGGTGGTAGGCAGGATACAGACGAGGCCGAGAACAGCCACAGAGGGTGTTCTGTCTGGTAGGTGCTGCATTTGACGCAGATACTTCCTCTGAAATCTCTCGAGGCTTTCCAGGTTGGACTTGGTGTGGAGCTGCGTCTCCAGGCCATACAATATTCTGGGAATGACATAAGCTGACCAGATGTATCCCTTTGAGGTTTGGCCTAGCCCAGTCTTGCCATGCAGACCAGCTCCCATGACGGTTCTCCTTCCCTTTTCAATCTTTTCCTGCACACTAGATTTTCTTTCAGTGGATCTTAATAAGCCGAGGTGGACTGTTTTTTTGCCTAGTTGTATTTCCTTGCCTCGGAGGACAGACAGGTTAATGTCCTGATTCGAATTGTACTGGAGGATAGAGCTTTTCGAGGGATTTATCTGATACCGGCTACTGTTGCTGAATTGCTCCACGGTGTCGACCATTTGTCTCATTTCTGCATCCGAGTGGGAGAGAAGGGCAAGATCATCAGCACAGGCGACGTGAGGGATGTGTATGTTTCCGACAGTGGCACCCTGATATTTACCCTCTAGTTGTAGGAGTAGGGGGTTATTGTAGCGCTTATAATGCTCTGTTGAGAGGACTCCTCCTTGTCTAACACCTTGCAGTAGATTGATTTCCTTAGAGAGTGTTCCTTGCCATTTTACTCTGGATGTCATATTTTCATAGAGGTTATGTAGAAGGATCCAGTCTGGGCCTTGTATACCATCGAAGAACAGTTGGTGGAGGAGGATTTCATGATTTACCACATCAAACGCCTTCTGTGTATCTAAGGTCGTGAGTAATAGTTTCTCCTTGTTTGATTTGGCTTTTAGTTGGCATTCTGTGATAATTGGGACTGATTTTGCTGATGAGGTTCCTTTTGTGAAGCCCGATTGGAGTTGGGACTAGGTTCTCAGGAGGATCGTTTCATGTCTGCTCTTTAGTACATTTAAAACAGTTATTTTTCCCTTGGGTGTATATACACACATTTATTTATGCTTTTAATTCCGACCACGCGTAATCTCCCCGAAAGAAATTTCAAAAAGTTGGTTAGGAGGATTGACAGGAGACTAAGACAGAGCCTATATATAGCTAGCTACTGCTGTTGGAACTAGAGTGCACTATTTATGAAATACAGAAAACTCTCGATAGCTTCTTATCGTAGATTTAGCATACGACCTTTAGGACAGATGCAAACGTTCTAAACATAAAGTTAACATTTAATAGCAATTTATAAAAAGGTAGATAAGGAATAAGGAAACTCCCAAGAATCAACACTGCACATCCAGTTTATGGTATACATCGACAATATTCTTTTGTTAAATAGAACTTACATGGTTTTTTTTAATTTTAAATGATACATGTGACTTTCGTCTTGAAAGTGGACGAGATCGTTCCCTGTCAGTGTGTCCTATCTTTATAAAAGGGGTGTGTGGTGGTTAGCAACTTCAACAAGTGGTCTGGATTGGGAACGCCCATTTTTTTCATTCACAAAGATGAGAGTTTAATTAATAACAGTTTAGCTCTTATTATTACTTCGTAACATTTTCAGAATGGAGTCATATCCTGACTTTTTCTATAACTTTTTCTCCTAATTTTGGGATGCAAATGCATCCTTCAGAAGCCAAAACAATCTTACCGAGCACCTGGCGAAGATGCTTCAGTCGTGTCGGAGTGTCTTTTTTCGGGTCAGAAACTTTCTGTGCTGATTTCCTAATATCACCATGACTAGGAGCTTTCCTAAACATAGCCAGGGCCGAAGACATTTAGGTTGTTTTGAAGAACTGTCCGGTCATGCTCATCATTTCGTCTGCACAACCTCTGACAAATGGCGCTGTGTTTACTTGCGCATGCGTAGTGATGAAATATATCCAGGCTCATTTCCGTTTTACCGGGCACAGGGACTTGTGTACATGCATGCATGGCTTATAAATTTAATTGGAATTTTCCAAAATAAAATGTGTTAGAAAGATATTTTAGATTAAATAACGATAAAAATAGAAACAAAATCTATAACTAATTTCAGTTATGCGCAACTTGTAGTTAGGCGGCGAAAACGATACATCAGGTGAGCTAACTATATATTAGCCTCAAGTTGCCTAATGAAAGGCAGGGTAATTAAACGTTATACATGAAAGTACATTTTTTCTATACATTTTGACGTGAAAAATAAATATAATCGATATACACAATTTATGTTTTCATCATAAAGTGGAATAACTATAAGTGACAAGCACAAATGTTGATCATATAATTTTCCTAATTATTAAGTTGGAATGTAAGTAAATCATATATTTTCACTGTAATTAACCATTTTTTTTATCGGTTAGTTAATTCTCGGAATTAGATTAGATATACATGAAATGTGTGCATGGAAAGTCATGGATAAACATCTATTCACATATTACAGGGCTTTAAGTTGATCCTCGATAAGTATTTTTTTGTCTCACCAAAATGACATCTATAGAACCTTTAGCTTAATTTGAATGAAAAGGTCAATTTGAAATATTTTTGACCGTCTAAATCTGAAGGAAAATGTTTATGAAATGGTTCAACCACGGAATTAGATTTAGATGTTATCTAAGCCCGTGGTTTAACTTAGCCCTGTTCATTGTATATTATTATATAAAATCAAGCATATGGACTTTATTATTAGACATTGGACAAAAAACTCTCATATTCTGTGAAATCTTAACATGTGCTTGTACATGTATACATGTTTGTCATGATCTATTTTTCCAAAGTATATATTACTTAGTTAACACACTATGATTTAAATTTGAATGCAACATTCTTCTATCTTTTTCAGCTAACGTAAAATAAAACTCGCTGTTCCAGGGACAGCTCCAATAACAGTGTTCCTGTTGACAGCACCACTAGCTCTGTTGTTCTACAGGTACCAAGCCCAGCCGTTAAAGCTATCCTGTTGTCAGCACCACTAGCTCTGTTGTACCACAGGTACCAAGCCCACTCGTTAAAGCTACCCTGTTGTCAGCACCACTAGCTCTGTTGTACTACGGGTACCAACCCCAGCCGTTAAAGCTATCCTGTTGTCAGCCCCACTAGCTCTGTTGTACCACAGGTACCAAGCCCAGACGTTAAAGCTATCCTGTTGACAGCACCACTAGCGCTGTTGTACTACAGGTACCAAGCCCACTCGTTAAAGCTACCCTGTTGTCGGCACCACTAGCTCTGTTGTACTACGGGTACCAACCCCAGCCGTTAAAGCTATCCTGTTGTCAGCACCACTAGCTCTGTTGTACTACGGGTACCAACCCCAGCCGTTAAAGCTATCCTGTTGACAGCACCACTAGCGCTGTTGTACTACAGGTACCAAGCCCACTCGTTAAAGCTATCCTGTTGACAGCACCACTAGCTCTGTTGTACCACAGGAACCAAGCCCAGACGTTAAAGCTATCCTGTTGACAGCACCACTAGCGCTGTTGTACTACAGGTACCAAGCCCACTCGTTAAAGCTATCCTGTTGACAGCACCACTAGCGCTGTTGTACTACAGGTACCAAGCCCACTCGTTAAAGCTATCCTGTTGACAGCACCACGAGCTCTGTTGTACTACAGGTACCAAGCCCACTCGTTAAAGCTATCCTGTTGTCAGCACCACTAGCTCTGTTGTACTACGGGTACCAACCCCAGCCGTTAAAGCTATCCTGTTGTCAGCCCCACTAGCTCTGTTGTACCACAGGTACCAAGCCCACACGTTAAAGCTATCCTGTTGACAGCACCACTAGCGCTGTTGTACTACAGGTACCAAGCCCACTCGTTAAAGCTATCCTGTTGACAGCACCACTAGCGCTGTTGTACTACAGGTACCAAGCCCACTCGTTAAAGCTATCCTGTTGACAGCACCACTAGCGCTGTTGTACTACAGGTACCAAGCCCACTCGTTAAAGCTTCCCTGTTGTCAGCACCACTAGCTCTGTTGTACTACGGGTACCAACCCCAGCCGTTAAAGCTATCCTGTTGTCAGCCCCACTAGCTCTGTTGTACCACAGGTACCAAGCCCACTCGTTAAAGCTTCCCTGTTGTCAGCACCACTAGCTCTGTTGTACTACGGTTACCAAGCCCAGCCGTTAAAGCTATCCTGTTGACAGCACCACTAGCTCTGTTGGTATACATGTTTGTCATGATCTATTTTTCCAAAGTATATATTACTTAGTTAACACACTATGATTTAAATTTGAATGCAACATTCTTCTATCTTTTTCAGCTAACGTAAAATAAAACTCGCTGTTCCAGGGACAGCTCCAATAACAGTGTTCCTGTTGACAGCACCTCTAGCTCTGTTGTTCTACAGGTCCCAAGCCCAGCCGTTAAAGCTATCCTGTTGACAGCACCACTAGCGCTGTTGTACTACAGGTACCAAGCCCACTCGTTAAAGCTAAACTGTTGACAGCACCACTAGCTCTGTTGTACTACAGGTACCAAGCCCACTTGTTAAAGCTAAAATGTTGTCAGCACCACTAGCTCTGTTGTACAACAGGTACCAAGCCCACTTGTTAAAGCTAAAATGTTGTCAGCAACAATTTTCAGTGTCATTTAACTCTTCAATATATTCCTAAAAAATGATGATCTTCATCAACTTCTTTGGACGAAGTGCTTAAGCTTTTTTTTTACATTAATCCAGAGAACTTTTCTTTGGTAGCCTTTTATTTTTGTGTTTTTCAAGACATTTTTTCTTGAACTGATTAAGATGTGTCCGCTGTGTAAGAAAGAGAACACTTATTAAAGAAGCTATACATCCAGTTCGAATAAGCCATGAGCTTAAAACACAGTATTAAGACTTGTATATACAGATTAAAGTTTGCGGTTCACATACCTTTGGTATGTAATTGATTATCATCTTTCAAAATTGATTTGTTGTCAGTTTTGTTACTCAATTACAGAATATATGTATTGTTATATAAGTATCATTACTATTTATGTGAGAAAGTTGGATCATGTTTCATATCAATCACACTTAGATATAACCAAGAGCCTGCAACATATACTTTTGTTGTAGGTTAACAAAATAATTGAAGAGATGCACTTTAAATAATTCATTAGTTCATTTGTGTTAACATAAGCGGAAGGACAAGTTTGGAATCTCCTCACTGAAACACGAGGGCAAACTCATCTCCGACGCCACAGATAAGGACAATATTCTTAACTCAAAATTCCAGACAGCCTTCTCCGAGAAAACTACCTCCACCCGCGAGGAGTCCCCGGACTCCCCAATCGTTGACAATATCAACTTCACCTCGAACGGGATTGGTAAACTTCTCAGAAATCTCGACGCACATAAGGCACCCGGCCCAGATAACATCTCACCAGGGGTCTTAAAGGTAACATCTCACCAAGGGTCTTAAAGGTAACATCTCACCAAGGGTCTTAAAGGTAACATCTCACCAAGGGTCTTAAAGGAGACACACGCGGCCACAGCTCCATTACTTAATCTTCTCTTCATGAAGTCACTTGCAATGGGTGTGGTTCCGGATGACTGGCGCACTGCCAACGTATCGCCTGTTTTCAAGAAAGGACAGAAGTACGTCGCAGCGAACTACAGGCCGATATCCCTCACATCTGTTTGCTGCAAAGTAATGGAGCACATCATCACCTCTACCATCATGTCCCACGGTGAGAAAACCAACATTCTCTATGACCTGCAGCATGGTTTCAGGAAAGGTAGATCATGTAAGACTCAACTCATCGAGTTCGTGGACGACCTTATCAACAACCTCCAGGCCTGCCAACAGACGGATGTCCTCATCATGGATTTCGCCAAGGCCTTCGACAGGGTTAATCACAGCCTACTCGTCCATAAGCTCCATGAGTACGGCATCCAAGGCAGGATCAACACATGGATCCAGAACTGGCTCTTAGGACGTTCACAGTCGGTCGTCATATAAGGAGAGAGGTCTACATCTGTGAGCGTCGACTTCTGTGTCCCGCAGGGATCAGTCCTCGGACCAAGCCTCTTCCTATTCTATATCGACGACCTGCACGACAATCTAACGTCTACTGTCCGGTTGTTTGCTGACGACACTATTGCCTACCTCACCATTACCTCAGAAAACAGCGGTAAAACCCTACAGGAGGATATAGACAAGCTGGGATGTTGGGAGGATCAGTGGTGTATGAAGTTCCACCCGGGCAAGTGCAACATCTTGAGAGTCACCAACAAAAAATAACAAACAATCAAGACCGATTACCACCTACACGGCCATTCCTTGCAAGAAGTCCAGTCAGCGGTATACCTCGGCGTCATCATCTCAAACACCATAAAGTGGGACACACAGATCCAGAAGGTTGTTGGCAATGCAAACAGGACGCTGAGCTTCCTGCGTAGAAACCTGCAGATTTCTTCCACCAAGATAAAATCCATGGCTAGTAAGACCTCTGCTGGAGTATGCCTTTACTGTTTGGGACCCCACACCAAGGGGAACATCAATCAAATCGAGCAAATACAGAGAAGAGCAGCGCGGTACGTGATCTGCCGCCACAGAAACACCTCCAGCTTCTCCAGCATGCTCGACGTACTTGGGTGGAGGACGCCATGACGCTCGACTGGTTGGCTATGTTGTACAGGATCGACCGAGGCCTAGTTACGATGAGTAAAGGCGGAAGACTGCTACCACCTCGCAGATTCGGTAGATCTGTCCATGCCAGATCCTACCAACTCCTCACAAGTAGGATCGACGCAAGAAGATGGTCTTCTTCCCTAGAACGGTGAGAGACTGGAACGCCCTCCCGTCAGACATCACCAGGGGCGTTTCTTTGATATTTGAAAGAGGGGGCGTAGAATAAAAAAAAAATGGACCTTTTGTTTGCTAAAAAACATAAAATAATTGTGAAATGCGCTAATGTAACGGTTCCTGACTTGGAGCATGTATATTTTATAGTTAAAGTGTCAGGGTTTGACATTTTTTATGCCGAATTATCTCCATTAATTGTCTATGGTATATTAAAATGAGTGGATGGATCTTAACAGCAGTAGACCAATAACGAGAAATTCCAAATTCTAGGGAATAAGGCGTTACTTAACATTTCAATAGTCCTAGGCCAGGATTTTTATGAACGGGAGGCGTAATGTAATTACGGTTGTCCTGGTAGAGGGTCCATGGGGAAGCTCAGAAGCTCCCGGATTTCAACAATTTAGCTTAAAATTATGAAGTAGCCATATTCAATACAATATTAGCAGATTACGATATTTTTTTTTTTATTTTTATTTTTTTTGAAAAAACGCCCATTTCGCCCTGGACGGCCAAGGCCAGTGTGTCAAAACTCTGAGGTCCTTTGTTTTTATCCTGTTTTTATCAACTTTTAACCTTTCGACGTAAGTCCTGCACCATGCACACGTACATAGCAGAATCTTCAACCTGTTGAAGGAGGCTATTACCAATGAACTCAGTTGGATTTAAGTTTCAATGTACTTGAATACAATATAATGTTTGAGGTGAAAGAAAATACTGTGTTCTATAGGAAATCTATATTAAATAAATTGCTCGGTTGACTGTGAAAACGACAATATTTCAGTTGCATAAAACCTTTAATTTCCATCCATATTAGGTATTTAATGTGCGATTGTTTAAAAGTATGATCCCTTTACGTTTGTCACTGGCAATACGGTTCACAGTTCAATATGTTTTATATGATAAAAGATTTGTAACACCTACGTTTCAGTCAAATTATCGCTTTATCAAGTACCTTTTCGAGAGTCTACGAGCCGTGTTTGATCTTGACCTTTTTCTACCATTTTGCCGAACTGATAACCGTAAATTTACATATTTAGTAAAATATTGCAAGTTTTAGAATATACTCTAATGTGTGAAAATATAATTAAAACATATTTCTCCCCATCACGTCAAATGTCTGACTAGCTCTATCACCGTGTGAAAACTAATACGTTGACTGAGTGAGAAAACACAATTCCGTTTCTTAGAAAAGTGGATTTATATAGGGGTTTTCAGCGTTATCAGAAATGATATTTTTTTGTGAATTCTGTAGATATTTTTTATTTTTCAACAATGACGGAACAGCTTTTGTCATTTTATATTGATCAGTCGTAGGGGGTCTAAATGTTGGAGGAGACCGGAGTACTCACGTCCGATCGGGGAATCAAACCCCCGTCCCCGTCTACCGATGACAAGTTAATTAGAGAGGGAAGTGTCTTCAACAAAAACAACGGAGTAACAATTCAATATGTGTCTCTGTTTATTTCAATTAAAAATAACAGTGGTCCAAGTATTGGCCCTAGAAGGATGCCAACAGTAATTCGTATTAGTACATGAAATAGATGGCGGCATATATATTGTATTTTAGGTAAATAACTCTCGATTCACTTTAGCAAAACTCATTTTCTACGGCTAAATATTCTAATAAATATGATAACTATGTTGGCTGTACAAATTTTGAGGCATTTAAAAATACTACATACAGCTATCTTTCAGGTGATATATACTGAAAAGTAAACGGGATTTACTTTTCATGTTTACGAGAAAGTTAGGTGCGGTAAATTTGAGACTCTTCCCGTTCCTCTAGAATATAAATACCATCATTTAAGGCTGGCATTTTCAACGTCTTACAATATGGAATAAGATAAGAATATAAAATGTTTAAGGAAAATTTCCTTATTTTTTCCCCGTTAACTTCTGATATAACGTAACGTTTAGGTATACCACTCTGTCCCTCATAGTAACCATTATCGAGCGTTTTTCGCCACTTAATTCTACCACTTCCGTCCATGCTCTTGTAGGCATATCGTCATGAGAATTTGTTATAGCTATATTTGGACATAAACTAATTAGGTGTTCAAATTAATTTTACACATTAGGGGTTTAAATGTACCTTAAAACATGTTAAACTAGTCGGAACACCTTAGTTGAGGTCAAAATGTAGCTGTAACAAATTCTCTGGTCCGGAATTGTACTGTCACATGAACACGTGTTCCTGTTGTGAGGCTTTTGACCCACCACAACTCGCCAGTGTTGTTGTTTGGTTTGGTTGGGTTGGGTTTGGTTTGTGTTTTACGGCCTATTAAAACATACCAACGAAATGACGAAACTTGAATTAGATTACCCACAGGTACTATAGCCTCGTATTTCAATACATCCATATTAGGCTGGTACCTGTGGGTAATGGTATAACGGGGACGTGTCTGCTCTATAATTGGGTGTATCTATAAAAAACAAGACGTCTTCCCTTGATTCATGTGTGAGGGTCACAATAAGTTTTATACCTCAATACATTACATTTATCAACTATTTCCAAAGTATTGGCTCTGTCTCTCAGCAACATCCGTCCCTCATTAGGTCCTCTCTTTCTGCCTCCATGACTTGGGGACGATTTTTAACATTAATCTCAATTTCCTGTATTTGGGCTGCCCCTCTGTCCCCTAAAAGCAACCCTATATTTATACAAAATTGAGTCCCATTTGCCCAAGGATGCTCTACACAAAATTTGGTTAAAATCCCTCCAAATAAACTGAAGAAAAAGGATTTTAAACATATATTACTATGTTCCCCTTTGCTCCCAGGGGGACCACACTTTCTGTTAAAAGAAATGAGTCCCCTTGCCAAAAGATTTCTCTGGACCAAATTCAGTTAAAATAATTCCAATCATATACTGAACGAAAAGGATTTCAAAGATTTAGCTAAATTTCCCCTATTGGGCCCCGCCGATTTGCACCCAGAGGGTCCATACCCTCTGTTATACAAAATTGAGTCGCCTTTGCCCAAGGATGCTCCAGCATGGAGGCCAAATTTTGATAAAACACTCGAACAATACAGAAGAAGAAGGTTTTGAAGACTTAAACCTCGATTTCCCCTATTGAGCCCTTCCCTTTGCACCCAGAGAGGCGACACCCTCCGTTTTTATAATTTATTTCCCTTTGCCCACGGATGCCCCAGGCCAAATTTGGATACAATCCCTCCAATGGTACAGAGGAAGAAGAAATTGAAGACTTAAACCCCAAAATTCAACTATTGGGCCCACCCCTCTGCCCCAAAGGGACCACACCCTACGTTTACATACAATTTATTCCCCTTTGCCCAAGATTTCAAGGCCAAATTTGGATAAAATCCCTCCCAAGGTACAGAGGAAGAAGGATTTTGAGGATTTAAACATAAAATTACCCTATTGGGCCCACCTCTCTGCACCCAGAGGAGCCAGACCCTCCTTTTATACAAAATGGTGTCCCTTTTGCCCAAGGATGTTCCAGGCCAAATTTCGTCAAAATCCGTACAAAGGGGACTAAATTTTGTATAAACGGAGGGTCCCTCCGTTTATACAAAATGTTGTCCCCTTTGTCCAAGGATCATGATGCTCCATGCCAAATTTGGATAAAATCCCTCAAATGGTAGAAGAAAAAACATATGTTATAGAATCAGTTTGGAAATATATGTGATATCAAGTTGAAGTTGTGTTCCAATTACTCGTGCGTTTAAGTGTCTAGAGCTATATATATTATATAAACTCGAGAACCGGAGACCAGAGATGTGTATTATTGCAGAGACGTATAAAAAACGTAGTAGATACGTCTCTGCATGTTAGAACATACTAGAACATTCGACCTGCTTTCGTTCATATCCCGAAGTTTAAATTTGCATGTAAAAGGTTAAGATAAACATTTAGTAAAAAAGGGTCCCGAACCGAGCTTCCTAATGATGGAATAAACCCCTAAAGCGTCTAATATTACTCTTAACACATCGGTCTAGGCCAGCTTCTGCCACAAATTTTCAGATCCCTGTGCTCACGTACGTAGACAAACCATTATTTAACAGACCGACAAGAAAAAAAGATCGCAGTTCATTGTCAATGTGGTCAAGAACGAAAAAGATCTGTCAAATCAAACTATCATCAATGCAGACATCGTATCGGTTGGTGAAAATGTAACGAAGACGCGGTATCACATTGTTTATCTCTGCTTTATTCCGGCAACCCCCTCCCTCTTTCCCCTCACTTCCTTCCTCCTTATATCTAAAAATGACGGTGTAAACACTTATTTCGTTCCCCTTTCTGGATCCTGTAATGGATATAGTTAATCTATGGTCTCAAAATGCATCCCAATCTTTCCCACCCATCAGCTACAGGTTTTCGGACGAAGGGAGCACCCTTTCTGAATCTACTAATTACATAAAATGCCTACAAAATGAGTTAGGACTATAGCAAGACTTTTAGCTAATATGCTAAAGTCAGGTCTACGCTTTCATGTAAGGCAAATACGTGACAAAGCGCTTGAGTGATTGTGTTCGGTGCATTGATTGGTTGATAGGGAACCAATCAGTGGAAACCCCAGATTTTGTGCCGTGTTTGTACAGTTCGACGTCAGTTGCGGAAAGCTTGTTGTAGTCCTGTGATTCTCCAAGTCTTTGGACGAAGGAAGGATTATCACAATGTATAGAAAGACTCGGAGAAAATGTATTTCATCATCAAGAAAGTTATTCGACCGGTAAACTTGCGATTATAGAGGTAAGTGATGTGAAACTAAGTATTGTTTATGTCCCTTTGATGTTAGCACCAAGGTGCTCGGCGCCAGTTGATGGCGAAGTAATTTTATTGAATCTAAGGGTTATTTAGGTAACTTGTATATTGAAATCGAACAGAATCATGTTACTAATGTTGTTCTTATTGATATAGCTTCAGTTTTATAGAGAAATTTTCAGTCGTTTGGTTGGAAAAGAGAATTATTTCCTCGAATTATATGAGCTTAGTCAAAAATAGAATGTCGAAAACGAGGCTGTGTGTACATGTCGACGGGAACGGTTGTTTACGCAGAAACCACTGTCGAGATGTGTGATCACTTGTTGTGTCGGTATGCTACGCATAACATGATGAAGTTGTTGATGATGAGTTGCATTGAAAACGACGAAACATTGTTTAGGAATGATCAATTAATATTACGAAGTTTGTCTTGGGATAGGAAAAGAGAAAGCAAGACAATTTTCCGATTCGGGAAGTGACTCACCGAGTGACCTATTTATAGCACCACCTTCACGAAACACAAATGAACGGGAAATACCGTAAGCTTTATCATGTTCATGGCTGTCACCCAATTATGAAATATACTTCCCAATATAGCATTCTGCTTATTTGTTGTTTTATTTTTTTCGTTGATGCAATCTCTTTCATTTGTGAAAGTTTTATGATTTGAAGATACATTACATTGTAGGAAGGAAACCAACTAGTTCTGTTTCTGATTTAATTTAAAGATAAAAGTTCATTTAAAGTGTATTTTTAAATCTCTATTTTTTTTGTATTTCAGGATTTGGTATCTACCAATCTACAAAAAAAAAAAAAAAAAATGGGAATCAAAAGAAAACTAGATGAATATGACGATGGTGGTGAGAGAAATGTTGAGCCTGGCATTCAACGGCAGTCAGTTTTGGACATCTCAATGTTCAAGCTTCAGACCCATCCAGTTAGAAGAGTAGAGCCATCATTACTACGCTCAGTCTTAATTCTTAACACCCTCAAGCATATAGAATGTGAACTTCAGAAAGAAGGGGTCACAAGCGATTTTTCTGAAGCTGCTTCAATGACTTTAAATGAAACATCAGACATGTCGATGGATGTATTGCCAGACTGTGAGAGCATCGGGAACGGAGACATCCAGCCTGATCTGTCTGAACTCCACATAAGTAGCAGCATGGAGACTACAAGTCTATCAATTCCAAAAGACACTGTGAACCCGCTCCCACCCATCGAGTCATTTGTTGAACTATCTAGTGCTTTTCCTCTCTCCAATGGGTCGTTATCTTGTGGACCTATGAAAGTCAAAAACTCTGATTCCAAAGAACATTTCACTAACTCTGAACAAAACATGCAGCTGAATTTCCCTGTGAAAACTGAAGACATTTTGACTGATATAGATGTATCAACATGTGATTTTGACATTTTCTCATCACTCGCCTCCAGTATGAAATTAACACCACTTAGTGCAGAAGAAGTTATGCATTCATTTCCTGTGCATGATGGCTATTCAACGCTGTTCAGCAACTGTAGCCAAGTGGGTGCATCATGTAAGAGCGACCTCATGCCAGAAGATATTGACAATATAATGCAAATATTAGTTGGTACTTAGTAGACATTGTTACATAATGAATCAGTTTATAATTCTATTTTTCACAGACTGTCTTGTGTTTACACCATAATGCTGTGAAATTTTTTTTAAAAGGAGGTGCAGGGATAAGGTTGTGATCCTGAAGTAAAGCACCGCAGCCATAATGTGTGCAATTCTGTATGACTATTTATAAGTTTTGTTGTCCAAATCTTGCACAAAAGACAATTGATATAAATTATTATTGATGTGTTGTTTAGTGATATAAGTTGTCAGTATACAATATATTTATTTCTCAAAACGCAAAGATTACAATTGTCATTATTTATGAATGAAATCAAGGTTATTTATAAATTGTTTGCTGTAATGTATTGGCAGCATGCTGCATCATTTGTTGTTTTAACTTTTGTTTTTATACTGAAACATGTTTCTCAAATTTCAAACTGTACTTGTATGTTGTAATTTGTTATACAAGAACTTTTAATGATGGGTAATACTTGCTTATTCTTTGGAATCTTTAGTGTAATCCTTGACCGACTGTCTTAAAAACTCTCCAAACAAGTTTTGTGAGGTATTTTGGGGGTAAATGTACTTTCTTTTGATATTTGTCAGTCACACCAGGCGTATGGATTGTAATTAGCATTTCTTCCAAAAATTGTGCAAAACATTTTTACCACTGTCAAAATGCAAAAGTGTAAGAAAAAAATCTTTTTAACATTGCAATAATTTTTCAATTGGAAAATAATGTTATTTCAAGATTGTCAAAAAATGTTGTGGTCTGTGTAAATTTCTGTCTCATGATTTAAGTACAGGACTTTTAATGGTCAGTATTTGAAAGCATTATCGCTGAGTTTATTTATTCTTTTTCTAAATTTCAAATTTAAGAATTTTTTTCCCAGAATGTTCTTTTTCAATATCAGTTTGAAATTACAATTTTCCTATGCGGTAAACCTCCTGTCAGTTCGAATAGGCAGATAGTTCCAACAAACTTTTTGAACTATAAAAATAATAATTTTTTTGTGTAGTGATAGTTCGAACCCGGCTTACACACGTTTCGGATTGTTAGAACACACAACTTGAGTACTGAACTTACGTATTATTGATCAAGGTTGGCTATCGGCGAAGCAATTTTAGCCTCGCGAAACTCACTTAATCTTGATCTATTTGCGCATCAACAGCGTTTAACTACTGAATAACGGGTAGTACTCATGTTGTCATCAATGTCGGACAATTTGTACACAAGTACTGTAAGTCACATGTCGCCGATAATTGATTTCGTTCTTGTAAACATGTGCACACGCCAGTCAAACATCTTTAGGCACCGGCCATGTATAATATCCTAACGGTACACAGAGTGCGGAATGTTACTGTCACATCGCTGACAGACTTGTGTATTGTTATGATATTACTGTGATTACAATTTGATTATTCAATCGCGACCTGGCCACCGATCACTGATTTATAACTTAATTGGAACAGGATAGACAATATTTATTTAATTTTGTTCAAACTGACTGAAGGTTTACCTTAATTGAAGTATATGTACAGGTTAAACATTACAGTATTATGCAAGAAATTCTGATGTATCAAATAAGATCCCAGAGTTGTAGGTCATTGAAGCCAGTACGTGTGTGTTGTCTGGTCTGTGTACATCCAAGCTCTTGTCCACATGTTAATTCAACCAGATCATTTCAGGATCATGAAAAATTCAGCATCACAAGCAATGTTTGCATTTATTGCAGTTTCCATCCAAATTTATTTAAGAATTGTGGCACAATGTTCATACCAAATTATGTTTTATCCATCCAAACGACTGTAATGCATCCATATTCTGATACGGTTTGTTCTGATCTCTTGGGAATTCAGCCCTTAGTTTTTGCTTCATGTTCTATTTATTAAAGACTGTTATCCTATCAGCGAAATGTATACTTGAAAGTATAGGTCTTTGGGCCATTGAAAAGTCTTCAAAAATAACTCTCTAGTATGGTTTAAGCTAGAAGACTTGGCCAGTATTTGGGATGCAGGCAATTTGTAATTGTTATTTAATGTACTCTTGGAATTATTTAATTTGCGTAATATACATGGTTGTTCTTATCATAAAGTGAAATATGCATCATTCAGGTTGAGAGTGTGATTTTGGATGGTTTGTATTTTTATATTGGATGTTATATCCTTTCCCAAAATCATTGTAATTTGAATTGTGTGTTATTTTATGTGAAGAATCTCCCCAATTCCACATATATGCTTTAGAACATTTTATGTCTCATGAAGAAAGATGCCATTTTGCAAAGCTATGATTTCTTGTAATGGCATAGCGAAGTGGATTCTCAATTCTGTCAAGAGTTTTGACTCCGTGAATAGTACAAAACCAGACTAGTCATCAGTAGTATATAAGCATTGATTAATTTATTTGTGTGTGATGGATATTAAAGGAGATATTTCCAAACCAGGACTCAACATTACTTTAACAGGGGGTGGGCCTCTCACCTTTTTTTTACATGTGTGATTGATATGAATATTGCAGTCGCATATGAAATCTAGTGGTGTTTTAGAGAGAGAGAAAACAGACTCCGCAAGACTGATGTAATTCAGATAAATGTTTAATATCAAGATACCCCAGCTAATGACTTATACCTGATCCTGTCTCTGATAATTTGATACAATGAAAATATCAAACAACATTTTGGTTTGTATTGGGTCGTTAGATGTCAGTGATATATAAGTTTTGATGATTTATTTTTGGCTGCAATTTGTCGGATTTCATTCTAATCTTGCGTAAAAAATATTTGACAGAGAAATCAGGTCTGTATTAAAATGTTGTTAATTTGTCATCTGGTAATGAGTTTAGATGAAATGTTCAGGCCAAGGTTCTCCAATATGTTTTTCAACCGTGTCGGGAAGCTTTTAAGTTTGTGCTTACACATCGATCTGATCATGAGTTGAATAAGTATATGTAGAAAGAAATCATTTAAGACAAAGTGAAGAGATACTAAATGTTAATCGGTTAATACCGATACGACATCAAGATAGACTGAAAAGTCATCTTCAGAGTTTTAGACTGGCATGTGAAGAATGTTTCAGGAAACCGGCAATGATCTGCTATGACTGATGGATGGAACTTTTGGAAGGTAGGACAGAGTGTTGCTCTCTACTCTCTAGAGTCGATATAAGGTAGCCGGTGAAGTCAAAGTCACAAAAAACGTTTCCCTACCCACATTCCAAACGCTCACATTTCCTCTGTTATTTGTGTGAAACTGTTCCTGCTACAGGCCACTAGAGCTGTTCTTTGAGATACTTCCAATGCAACGCTATCAATGTATATGAAACACATATACTTTTCTGCCTGTTGGTAGATTGATTAAAAACAAATGTGTTGTATACACTAGTCTAGCATGCAGTTGCTATTTCTCTAAAGAAAAGGGGAATATCCTGAAAGGGAGGTTTTTGAATGAGCAAGTCGAACCAAACGTTATTTCTTTTGGGTAGCTTTAACCCTTGCTAGTGTGACAGCTAGCTACATGTTTGAGATAGAGGGAATGTCAAAACAAGGTTAGTCAAAAGAATCTACAAGTATTTGTCATGTGCATCAAAAATTGTTTCAATATTTGTGTTTTTAACTATTTAAGATGAATTTGCATGTGCAGATATCAATCTCACTTGTTGTAGAAATCAGTACAATTTATGAATGTTTTTTTTTTGTTTTTTTTTTAAAGATTTGAAATCATATCATGTTTTCTGTTGATATAATTTAAATCATGCTCATTGATGTTTTATAAACAAATCAAGCATTTCATTTAAATGTATTTGAGCTAAATCACAATTCATAATTTTACAATATGCAATATCTAATTTATTGTAATATTTACATGAATTAATGTAAATATCCATATTATTTATTTTGTACAAAGTGCAGATTTATCAGATTATGATACCCTTTTATAAAGGATACAAATGTGGATGATGCTAGGCATAGTAGAAAGCCGTTTTGCTCTTCCTTATTGTATAGTTAAACATGAGAGATTTTAGCAGGAACATTGAAAGGTATTTTTTACAGAAAATGGGTTTCATAGATGATCGAACAATGTTGTGCTTCAAATGTTAATGTTCTCAAAGTTACCATCTGTTGAAGAATTAATATTATGCTGTCGAAAGTTTGAATGATTCGTCAGACTATTTTGTTGATGGTATTATATAGAGTTTATGAATCATTCATTCCTTCAAGTGTGTTATGTATAAAGTTTGAACAGCATTCATAATGTCTCAAAAAAACAGATTTTGAGAAATTTTCTTCATGATGAATTAATTGAATTTTTGGAGATTCAAAAAACCACATGCATACTCTATAGTTGTAATCAAAATATGTCCGTTGAAATTGTATAGAAAGTTCAAACTTTGGAGTGGAGTTTTGTATGGCAATGATTTGTTGGGATGTCTTCCTAAACCCTCCATCTCTCTGGCCTGGTCTAGAAATTTTATTAATGTGACCAATTTACTTAAATGCATAATGTATTAGATAATCAAATGTATATACATACTTTTAATTATTAATTTGGAAGCCAGAATTATGTAAAAATCGAATCACACAAAAACATTGTTCAAATGAAAATATGGAAGTTGCTAAATTATCTCTCTTTAAATTTTCAATATCGGTACATCAGGTTTTTAAAAAAAAAAATGTGCAATTCTGAACTGTCTCAAGATTACCATGGCCACCAAAACAATGAAAATATTTTCAAATGTGACGGATTTAGGAGAAGATCAGATGTTAAGAGAGATGGGGTGGTTTTGTCTGTTCTGGGGTTGACCATAGCTGTGGTTTTTCTCCCTGAGATATGATTATAAAATGTGATAGAAGCAACTGTGAACCTTCGGAATGCAATATGTACATATTTTTTTTTATATCAAAAGCTTTGATGTCCCATTTAAGATGTCTTTTCTTTAGGGGGAAGGGATATTATTTTTGTTTGTTTGTAAATGTTTGCTTTAACTGCCAAAAAAATGGTTAAGATTTTGACCACTAATCAATAACAGTTTTATTTAGAGTTGAAAACTGCATTTTATACATGCATATGTGGATTTGACATCTTAATGGGAAAGCAATGCTTTTGATATTATCACCTATTATAGATTTTGTAGATTTAGATAGATTTGAATTTTAAATACATACTATTGAAACTATATATATAGAATATTGATTGATAGAAGATTTATTGATGTTGCATTTCTGGCTATTTTTTTTGTCAAAAAACCCTATGTACAGAATGTTAGTTTGTTTTAGTATTCCCAGAAACCATTCGCATAGCTTAACAGCTAAATAGATCTCTTCAGGAAGAAAACATACCCACTGATCAGGTGTAAGTTTTGTCGGCCTGCAGGTCCTCAACTGGCTTGAAATATAGTTTTAAGGGCGTTGACGCAACAGGGTTGTGTACTGCTAGTGCAATAACGGGTCTTGGTGGGACATTGTCAGTAAAAGATTGTAACTGGCATTTTAACCACAAAGATGTGCCATATCTGTCTCGCTCCAAGCATCCGGTTCTTATACGGCTCGCTCACTTTTTTATGGTACACATTTATACAGGGTAGAAATACTGAAAATAATGAGTTCAACAAAGATAATTGGCTTTTACCTTGGTAACTTAATGTAGTTTAAAAAGTTGGAGGCACAAATAAAATCCACTAGTCCGAGTTTCAGGGCTAAGAGGTTTCCAGTTTTGGCTACTAATGGGAATTTTCAGTGCACTAGCCTACTGTTTGTTTTTGGAAGATCTGACTTTCTTTAGATAATTTTGCTCAACTTGAAAGCCAGTTGCAAGTCTGTAAGTCGTCAATGTTTCCTAGATCCAGTTCTAGCATATTCCATTAGCTCTCTTACACATAAATGTTTTGTTTTATGTAATTCAATACTTGGATGAACAATGTTAATGAAAAGTACTTGGAACACATTATCCGTGTAGATCAGGAACGAAAATAACAAAGATGCAAAGACACTTGTCTTTATCTTTTAGATAGGTTGGAATGAAAACCAGAATGCAGTGACTGTCAGAATGCAGTGACTGTTGTTAGGTATCTTCCTTAGGTCTTTTACAAAAACAAAAATGATGCACAGGCGCATATTACGGGGATTGTCGTTCTTTTTTCGATGTTAGGGAAGGGGATTTTTTTTTAAAAATTGCCAATAAGCTAATGGAATTTGCTACAACTGGTTCTACTTCATCTGATCAGTTATCATAATAATACTGGCCTATGTGAAAAACATTGAGTATAAATATGACCTTTGTGCCCTATCTGCCAAAGTGACCTTTCGGGTATCGGCAGTGATATTTTGATGTGTACATGTTTGACACTCATAGAAATGTCTTGCATGAATATATATATATATAAATAATATATAATTGTAAATATGTTTTAAACTTCATACAGCTGCGTACAAAATTGAAATGGGATCAATTTGTTACAAATGAAACGTTGAAAAGAAAAAAGTTTTTTTTGTGTGTTTTTCAAATGACTATTTTTGTAAACTATACACAATAATGCTATTGATGATGACATGTAGAGTATTACGAGCCGTTATTTAGGCGACCATGCTGGGCGCATATTAACACTGAGGTAATAGAACTATCTACACAACGCAACATTTGAATGCTCAGCGTATTCAGTAATCTGAAGTAGGATTTGATCCTGTATTGCACTACATTCCTTGAAGTACATTCTTCTTTGTAAAGAATCAGCAACATTGAGTACAAGGTCACCTGTTTTTATGATTACCTTTTTTCAAAACAAGTTGAGTCCAGATTTAGGTATTCGGACCTCGGTAGTGCTGGATGTACTTCAAAGAGTGTAGTGTAGAACGAGATCTCATTCTAGGTGGGTTATCTGTCCAACAAGTGCTACTTAAAAGAATGAGCCTCGTGAACTGCGGTTTGGTTTTTTGACTACCAAACCTTTGATGTAAAATATTATATTATGTGGCAAGGAATAATTTGTTGAAACTAGAATGGTTTATAACAGTGCTCGGCCTCATGTGAGAAGCCAATCAAATCTTGTGCCAGAATTTTGAAATACATAGTTTGTTTCTTTGTATTTGACTTTTCAAAAGAAAAATGAAGACAACTTTTTACATCACTGCAGTGGTATTTTAATATAGCTGTTTTTAAATATTCAATACCCAATAAAAGAAAATAGTATGAAGAAGAAAAAGTACTTGTCTTAAGATTTTTCTTGCAAAGTACTTTATTTTCTGGCATGTTGTTTTTATTGGCTACTCCAAGCTTGGCATCCCATCAGGGATTTGTTGGTAGAATCTATGCAGTGAAAGTTGATTATCTGTCACCAGTATAAAGTCGTGAAAATATTTCTGATATCAGAATTTAATTTTGATGGTCTATATTATTGAAAATATGTGCATTAAAACGGCTGTTGCAATGATGCACAGCGGTTTTCCATTTTGACTGGTTTGATACATAATTGACTTGTCAAATTTTCAATTAATACTTAAGAACAAACTTTATCTCATTAATGTATTCTCAAGTCGACTGCATGTGTCAGACTTATATGTCAGGCAAAAACTGACGTTAACCTTGCCACTACAAAGCTCTCGAGTGACTCGGATATAATCACGTGTCATAATTACAATCTACTAGTGTCCAGGTGAAACCATTAAATTGAACGGGAATTGTACATTTCTATGTTTACAGAGTGAGCACAATACATGGAGTCATGAACATACATATACCATTGTGGACTTTGTACAGTTGCTATACTTTAATAAACATTTTTATAAATGATTTCTCGACTTGTGTAATTCCTGCTATTTGTTGAGGTGAATTTGTAATGTGATTGAACTCCTTTCCATTTGTGTAGTGATACTGACTATTTCTTTGCATCAGATCTTGGGATGAATTGCAGAATGACCTGTACTACACTGGAGTTCATACTGTTGATGTCGGAGTCGCATAACTAACATGTTTGTCCTATCTTGGACATTCTACACAACTGGAATCTGATGTGTCCTAATTGAAAGCCAACACTTTGTCATTTGATTGGTTCAGGATAAAAAAAAACTGACTCAATTGCTAGGTTAATTCCTGTTTATAGGAGCTACACCCAATCAAAGCCAGTCAATTTTACTGATGTGCTGTGGAGCAATTCCTTTAATATTCTATCTAAGAAATCACATGTATGCAGGGTTCGATAACAGTTTCAAGACTTGTTGACTGGTATCACGGATATGTATACCAAAGTGAACCCTTTTGAATTTGAAGTTATTCTTGTCTGCACCTTAACATCTTATGACTTTGTTGATATGACATACCTTAGACAGCTGACATGATACATTCAACTACCATAGATAAATTGTTAAGCATACCTGGCACAAAGTGCCATTGTCCTTGCAGTATGGTGAAGCATCTAACTCGTCCATCCTTAAACAATTCTTGTTATCGCTATTTCTCAGTAAGTACAGGAGGGATCTTTCTCAAATTTTATATACTGATAGGTTCCCCTTGGTATGAAGTTATGCTTATTTTCTTATGAGACTGATCAGATAATCAAATCTTTGATTTTGACAGTTAAGGTTTGTTATCACTATTTCTCAGGAAGTACTAGAGGGATCTTTCCCAAATTTTATATGCAGGTTCCCTACTACTCTATTGTCCATGTTTACTTTTGAAACTGATCAGATAAACAAAATGGCCAACCTACAGCCATCTTCGATTTTTGACATTGATGGTATGTTAGTACTATTTCTTAGGAATAACTTGAGGGATCTTTCTCAAATTTGATATGTCGGTTGCATGTTATATTTTTACACTGATCATAAAAACAAAAAGGCTAAAGGAATTAGAACTAAACAGATCTTAATTCTCATAATGCAATGATCGATTCTATTTCTTTCACATTATTAGCTCACCTGGCACTAAGTGCCAATTGAGCTTATGCCGTGGCGCGGCGTCCGTCGTCCGTCCGTCCGTCATCCGGCGTCAATATTTTACTTTAAACGACTTCTTCTTAATAACCGAAAGGCCTAGGGTGTCGATATTTGGCCAGAAGCAAACTTGGATGAAGGGCTACAAAGTTTGTTAAAATTAATGACCTTCACCTATTTTCAAGGTCACAGGCATCAAATATGTCAAAAACTTTGCAAATCTTCTTCTCAATAACCAAAATGCCCAGGGAGATGATATTTGGCCAGTAGCATGCTTGGGTGAAGGGCTACCAAGTTTGTTCAAATGAATGACCTTCAATTATATTCAAGGTCACAGGGGTCAATTGTATTAAAAAACCTTTAAACAACTTCTTCTGAATAACCAAAATGCTCAGGGTGATGATATTTAGCCAGTAGCATGCTGAGATGAAGTGCTACAAAGTTTGTTCAAATGAATGACCTTCACCCATATTCAAGGTCACA